CACTAAAACTCTCATTTGGACCTTGAACCATTTGGTTCCCAATGAAGTCCATTATATGGAGAAAATGTTTTATTAATTTCTTTTCGACTGAAGAAAGAAAGACGTGGACGTCTTGGATGACATGGGGGTGAGTAAATTATCAGCAAAAAAAAAAAAAAAGTGAGCTACTCCTTTAAGAAAACTGTGCTTGAACCAAAGAAAAGTCACTGCCACACTTCTAGGCACTGCAGTTGCTAAGATTTTGATAAGCGTTTTATAACCATTGCTATGTGGTTGCTAGGGTGTTCTTCCTTGTTGTTGGGTGGTTACAAGCAACACTTCATAATTTGAGGTATAATTCACATCTGTTGTGTAAACAGTGTGAGGTGAGTTGTGTGGAAATTGTATTTTATTTACGGTTAGAGGTTGTTCTGATAGCAGAAAAGTGGGCTTGCTTTAAAAAAAAACAATAATAATTTATGAAATGAAATGAAATTTGTGAAAATGATTTTGACCTTTTGAACATGCATAGAAAAACATCTTATGTATAGTGTTTTTCACTTTAACCACACTTGCGTATGTCTTAAATGTGTACAGTCCACAGCTAAAAAAGAATAAAAAAGTACTTTTGAAACTTATAGTTTCATAGAAACTGTAGTTTTATCTAGGACCTATACTTTTCATTATGGCTTGCAACACTTGATATCTTTTTGTTGAAGGTAAAAAAAAAGATTTTGCCCTGACCATACAAGTGTGTAATTTAATAAATTATGCTGTCAAATAGAGAGCTCTCAATTTACAGCCATGTCCTCCAGGCATACCTAATGTTCCATTTTTAATAATAATAAGTCTGTTTTATTGTAAATGTGCCGCTTTTCATCTCATGTTATCACATGTCAAAAATTATGCTGACTGCACTGCTCATCTGCCAGGAAAGTGCTATGGCTTAATGTGATTGGAACAGGATAGTTGGGGAAAGAGAGAGTTGTGATTTTATGGAAGGCGACAGTAAGAGGACAGGAAGGGTTAAACATATGTTGGAAAGGCAGATTTTTAAGTCTGCTGGAATCTGGTTGCACCCACTACTAATGATAGGTCTGTCTCAGTGCCTGTTAGGACAGCTGTCCTGAGCTTACCTGAGCACCAGCCTATGTAAGCACACTCACACACACACAAATCCCACTCCACCCTCATCTTATACACCATCAACAAAGAGCAGTTCATTTAGTCATGGACACATGATATCCCTCGACAGTGGATCACCAACAGAACATGTCTTAAAGTGTAAATCAAGCTTATTATAAATAATTAATTTTATTTCCCATTGCTTTAGAGACAGATCTAAACATCATATGAAAGCTTATACAGGTCACATTTCACCCCAAAGTCAAAAGAAAACAAAATAAATTATATTAAGGCATATACTGTCCTATCAGCCAATTAAAGGGTTAGTTCACCCAAAAATGAAAATTAAGTCATTAATTACTCACCCCCATGCTGTACCAACCCCGTAAGACCTTCGTTCATCTTGGGAACACAAATGAAGATATTTTTGATTAAATTTGAGAGCTGGATCACTCCTCCATAGGCTTCCTAAGGGACTAGCACTTGACGGCCCATAAAGTCATTAAAGAAAATGTTTAAATATTCCATGTGCCTACAGCGGCTCAATTATAAGTTTATCAAGCGACGAGAATACTTTTTGTGTGGAAAAAAACATAAATAACGACTTTATTCGACTATTCCATTACTTCCTTATGGGCCTTGAGACGAGAATTAAAGAGATTTCCAGAACGCATGCGCGAGAACTGAGAGGAGGACGTTCTTCTTCGACTACTTCTTGTTACCGGCTGCTCACCGCTAGTATTACCGCCCCCTACCGTATAAGATGACGTGCTGTTATAGCTGGAAGCACAAAACTTTCTGTTTACAAGCAGAGGAAGACGTGCGCTGTACATACGCCTTTCAATTACCGTATTTTCCGCACTATAAGGCGCACTTAAAAGCCTTTTCTTCTCAAATACGACAGTGCTGTGCGCCTTACAATCCGGAGCGCCTTATATATGGATCATCATCTTATACGGTAGGTGGCGGTAATACTCCTAAGCGGTGAGCAGCCGGTAACAAGAAGTAGTCGAAGAAGAACGTCCTCCTCTCAGTTCTCGCGCATGCGTTCTGGAAATCTCTTAAATTCTCGTCTCAAGGCCCATAAGGAAGTAATGGAATAGTCGAATAAAGTCGTTATTTATGTTTTTTTCGCACAAAAAGTATTCTCGTCGCTTGATAAACTTATAAATGAGCCGCTGTAGGCACATGGAATATTTAAACATTTTCTTTAATGACTTTATGGGCCGTCAAGTGCTAGTCCCTTAGGAAGCCTATGGAGGAGTGATCCAGCCCTCAAATTTAATCAAAAATATCTTCATTTGTGTTCCGAAGATGAACGAAGGTCTTACGGGGTTGGTACAGCATGGGGGTGAGTAATTAATGACTTAATTTTCATTTTTGGGTGAACTAACCCTTTAAAGGCCTTTTAAACCATTCTAGAGCGATAAGACAAAAAAGAAAACTCAATTACTGCCACGCTGTCTGTGAAGCGGTTCTCCGTGCACATACCCAAAACGCACGCACAGTAAGCAGCTTCACAGACAGCAATTTGAGATCTCTTTAGCATCTAGCATCTTGAACAGACAAAAACATACAAAATAATAGCCAGTCTTAAATGAGTTAAAAAACCTTAAATGAACGTAAACAGTTGAGAGAGAATCGGATATGATACGCATTGTGTGCGTAAGGTCTTTTGAATTAAAGTCCCCGTGAACCGGAAGTTGCAAAAGATTTTTCTCCAGTGCTGTGACGTATTTCCAAGTGAAACGGAATATTGAACAGAGGGCAGGGTTTTACTCTAGCGCTCCTCCTCTCCATCTCTCGCTCATAGCAAACTAACGGTTTGAGGGGAGTTGTTAAGCGTTTCCCCACCCAAACTGTGAAACCTACGTCATCAGAAAAAGAAACCGTTCCAGACCGGAAGTAACTTTTCAGATTTTGATTAAAGATTACCAAGGTAAAACATTTTTTTAATATATATTCACTTGCACGGATTAATTGTTCACCACAAGACTAGTAATATGCGCTAACAAAGTAAATAGGTTCAATTTTGATTTCACGGGGACTTTAACAGCAGCCTAACATACCAGATCCATTCTATGTAATATTAATCAAAGAACAAAATACAAAGAGAAAATCACTGCTCTTGACTGAATAACTTTTGCAGCTTTAATAAGTATTTATCTATATATTTTTTAAACAGTGAAGACAATGGGGTGTTACATTATACGTGATTACTTTATTAAATGTGGTCTTTCTTACCCAAATTCTAATGTTTGCCCTACCTGAAAATCTTAAAGCGCTATTTATTTAATTAGCATCTTTGTGCACAAATAAATAACCTGTAAAACATCCAGTAAACACAGTGTCGGGATGTTTTACTGTTTTTTTTTTTAAAGCAGTACGACAAATACTACATTGACTTTTTTCAATCAGTATTATTATTAGTAATATAATTTTATCATCTGTCAAGGTTTGACATGGTTAGTGTATTCCACCCATCTTCCTATCCTCTAGCAGACAACTAGCATTCTCTGATGGATCTCTATTATGTCAGCATCTGCTCTCAGAGTGACAACGCTGAGCTTTCAGCAAAGGAAGTGCGCTATCTGACAAACAAGTCCTGCCTTTAAAGTGGACCTATTATGCAAAATTCACTGTTCCATGGTGTTTGAACTTACATGTGTTGACAGTGTGTGCACACAACCATCCTATAATGATAAAAAGTCCATCCACTTCTTTTTTTAAATATCTATAAATCATAAGCAGTGCCTAGGAGTCGGAACAAGCCGTTTTCAGATTCTGGGTAAAGTGACATCACTTTGACAGGCCCCGCTCATGACTGTTTACGGACTCTGCTGTATTAGTATAGATCTTGCCCTGATCAAGTTGTACATTGTCCGCCATTTAGGCTAGAACAGCTATGAAAACAAGAATGTCTTGTAAGCAACTCAGGTGTTTTGTTGTTGGTTGTAAAGCCCGGAACACGCCAAGCCGACGGTCGGCCGTCGTGCAGTTTTTGTGCGTCGGCCGGCTAAGCTTCCTTGGTGTGTTCCGCACGGTTCCGTACCGTCGGCTAAAAATAGTCCTCGTCGGCTTTGCTTCGCCCGATTCAACATGTTGAATCATCGTCGGGCCGTCGGGAAAAGAGAGAACTCTGATTGGCTGTTCAGCTCAGTGAAAGAGTCAGTGCAAGAGAATAAAAGCCAAACAGCAAGCAAAGAAGTCTAAACGGTAAATAGAAGGCTGTTCTTTTGTTAAGTCATCTTACCTGAGTGTTCCTTGGCGAATATTTCAATATTAACATGAGCGGAGTGGAATAAAGAAAGCGTTAAGCGGGATTGATATTCAAAATGGTAAGCACGCGCTGCTTTGTTTACAGTGTGTCTATCTGCAGCCGTCAGCGTCGGTTTTCCCTTTTGAATGATGAATATAGTCTAATATATCTGCAGAAATAGACAGTTGGCTCATTACACGCAGGCACAGAACGCACATTCTAGCTGACAGTCGGCTGCAGTTCTCTCGGTGTGTTCAAGTGCAGCTTTTTACCCTGATGATAGCGGATGAGAGGTGACAACACAGTCAGTGTCGGCTTGGTGTGTTCCGGGCTTAAGAGTGAACATAGCAGTCTTCATGTACTCTCGACATCAGAGCTGCTGAAGATGCTGTGGATTCATTTTAGTTTTGAACGGAATGCTCCCCCTCATGCCTGAAATTGTTTGTGTCTTATGAACAAAAATACAAAACACGGGTTTTGTTAAAAAAGTTGTTACTCAAGAAAGGATCAGTACTGTACCACCTATAGTTACGGATATAAAGTTTTATTTTCAGTGCTTTGGTGATTTCTGACAAAAGAGTGGCCTGTTGTCTGAGCTATAAAATAACCATGAACTTTTCTTATTATTTCTCTCTAGCTCAGAATGGCACAAAGCATCAGATGTTTTTTAACATATCAGAGATGAGACAGAGTATTCCAGACTTCCGGCTGCTGTCTCAAGCGGAGTTACGGCTTCGGATTAAGAATCCCACCATGGACCAAGAGCAGAGGCTGGAACTGTATCATAGAGTAGGTGATCAGGCTCGATATCTGGGCACACGCTTTGTCTCCAAGGATTTGTCCAATCGCTGGCTCTCGTTTGACGTGAAACAGACGATGACAGAATGGCTGCAGAGTTCAGGTAAGGTCATGGCTGCATTCAGCTAACATTAGTTGCAGTTTCCCAATGGCAGTTGATGACTATATTTAAAATGACCATCCTTAAGTTGTGCTCTTGTGCTCACAAAAATTTTTTAAAACAGTCTTTTCTTGACTGTCTATCATAGTATGATAACTCAAAACCTCAGTGAGACAACAATGCAGGATGCTGTTATTAATGCTGAGATTAGAAGAAAAATAGACAGTGCTTATTGCTACAGTTGTGGAACTTGTCCTCTGGGGCCAGTTGCATCGTCATTATGTCACGACTGTGTCTTTAGAACTTTTATGACCAACTAGCAGTTAGTCATAGGGCAATCAGTCTTAATTTTTGTCACCAAATTAGACCAACCAAGTTTTTCTGTAACTGACTTGAATTTTTTTTTAAAGGGATAATTCACTTTGAAATAAATTTTTGAAATGTTTTAGCTTACCTCAAGGGCATCCAAGATGTAGGTGTCTTTGTTTCCACAGCATTTTCAGTTTTGACATTTTTTGCTCAAACCTTTGTTGTCTATCAGTCCTATAATGCAGTTTTAGGGGGTCCACCTCAAAGAGCATGCACAGAGAAGTCAAAATTAAACATGATTTAATGACTCGTGAATGTAAATGCACATTGATGGCCTAAGACACGAAACGAGCAGTTTGTGTGAGAAAACGAACATTTTTTTATTTATATAGTTTTTACCTTTTGTTAACAGCCGTCGAACTGATCTGAATCAGATGTCCAACTGAACCGAACTGAACCGTCGCCAGACGTTACGCCGGAAGTGATCTCTCGCGCATCTACGTCACGCATTGTTTACACGGAGATTTCGGAAGTTTTTAGCTTTCACTAAACATATTTAGATATATCGAAATCGTATATCTAAATATGTTTAGTGAAAGGTAAAACTTCCGAAATCTCCGAAATATCCTACTGTTCACATGTTTTTTTTTTTCAATTTTTAATAAAATTTTTTTTTAAATAATTTTAATGTTTAAATAAGAGTTTTCCAACATCTTAAAATGTTTCGTTTTAGGACAACCTTTGAAGGATGAACAAAAAAATTTGTTGATCATCACGAAAAAATACAAAAAATAAAACATTTATATATGATATAATAGTTTTGAAGAGCAGGACAAAGATGTGTAGGCTACGTTGTAAGCATTTGACTACCGTATTTCTGTCACATCATATTTATGGTTAGAGTTAACTTACTACATTAGCCTAAAAATCCATGGTGAATGTTGCTGATTTGTGGACTGAAAGCCTTCTGTAAGTGTTTCTCCTAGTTTCCACGTCAGCGCTGTTTGATCTGATGTCTGTGGTTTATAACAGAACTCTGAATCGGAATGTTTCTCACTGGATCTCGTAGCGATGATTTTATTAATTCTGAGGTGAATTCAATGGATTTATTCACTGGATCTGCTAGTAACAGTGTGGCGTGATCGAGATCGGCCCGCGACTGGCAAGTTCGGGGCTTTATTACTGTCAGTGGTTCGGGGGGCTCCACTATGCGGTGCTCTGTATATTATTGGTCCAACCTAATAAAAATGCCAACGGTCCGTGAAGCATAAACTATATGAGTTGCGTATTTTAGTTCCAAAATTTCTTTTTGTTTGTATTCGCTGCTACTAGGTAACGTGTCGATAGATCGCTTATTGCTCAGACGCACATTGCAGGTTGTGATATTTGTCTTCGTCTCCTTCCCACAGACGTTTATTCGCGCTATTCTTGTCACAGATTCATTGACGCGCCCCTTCCACGTTTACCATGCGTATAACGTGTGGCAAATTTACCGGTCGCACATGTGCGACTGGATGTAAAATTCAGTCGCACACTCTCAAGTTTTGGTCGCAAAATGCGACTATTTGGTCGCAGTCTGGAGCCCTGGAATGTGTAAGGTGTCGCCTAGCCTGCAGCTCTGCAGATGTCTGTTAGCGAGGCACCATGCGCTAGAGCCAAAGAGGACGCCACACTCCGGGTGGAGTGGGCAGCCACACCAAGGGGGCACGGTCGACCTTGCTGCAGGTATGCCAAAGCAATGGCGTCCACTATCCACTGGGACAACCTTTGCTTGGAGAGAGCCTTTTCCTTCAGCTTCCCACCATAACAGACAAAGAGTCTGAGGTCCTGAAACACTGTGTTCTGTCTACATAGATACAGAGAGCACATACTGGACAGCGCAGTGCCAAGGATGGGTCTGCCTCCTCCAGGGGCTGGGTGCAGGTCCCTTACCCTCTTGATGGAGGCCAATGCAATCTGAAGCGCTGTCTTCATTGACAGGAAGTTAAGCTCAGCTGATTGCAAAGGCTCAAAGGGCGCACTCTGCAGGGCAGTTAAGACCACTGAGAGTAGGGTTGTAACGGTATACCGGTATGGCGGTTTATCGCAACATTGACATGTACGATTATCATATCGTGCACATTGGCTTATCCGCGGTTTAAAAAAAAATTTAAACCAGAATTCACCTGCACTGCAGCATGCAACTTCTTTCAGCTTGACTTAGACTCCATACCTGTACAGCGCTGAAAATGTCCGAGACAGAGGCTGCGAATCTCCCGCCCAAAAATAAATAAAATCTGCAGTATGGGAATATTTTGTATATCTGAAAAATGATCGTGGTGTTGTCCTTGAAGATGGATGTCCAGTTTGCAAGATATGTGGACGAAGAGTGGCTGCAAAAAGAGGAAGCACGTCGAACATGTTCTCCCATATTCAGAAACACCATCCCTCCATGAAGATAAAGGTTATTCATAACTTTTATTACTCAAGGCCATATTATTTCTGTCATGCTGAGGGAATCCCGGTGAAACCGTGATATTTTCTGAGACGATTATCATACCGTGAAAATCTCATACCGTTACAACCCTAACTGAGAGGTCCCAGGAGGGCAAGGAGGATTCAGTCCTCCTCGCTCCTCTCAGGAACCTGACGATCAGGTTGTGCTTCGCTACCTACTTACTTTCCATAAGGTCGTGGTGTGCGGCAATAGTGGTGAAATAGACCTTGAGGGTGGAGGGAGACAGTCTTCGCTCCAACCCATCTTGAAGGAAGGAAAGCATGACACTGATCAAACATCTCCGGGGGTCTTCTCTGTGAGAAGAACACCAGTTGACGAGGAGCTTCCACTTCAACGCGTAGACGTGTCTCCTGGACGACGCTGTAGCAGAAGTGAGGGTAGCCACCACCACAGGTGGTAGGGTACTCAAACCTGCCTCATTCCGTCCAGGAGCCACACGTGGAGGTTCCAAAGATCGGGATGAGGGTGCCACAGGTTGACCCGTCCCTGAGAAAGGAGGTCCTTCCTCAGAGTAATGGGCCAAGGAGGTGCTGTCGCGAGGAGAATGAGTTCAGAGAACCAGGTCCAGGTGGGCCAATACGATGTGAGTCGTGACCAGAATGACCTGCTTAGGCTCGCCGCAAGAAGAAGCACTCTAAAGACACAGTTGCATCGCAGCAGAGCATTCAACCGGGGGGAGCCCAGTGTACCCACGGGCAGCTGCTCCATCGAGGGGAGGAAAGGTGGATGAAATCAACGAGCAGTTCTGGAAAGACATGTATGGAAGTATTTGTGTAGAGATATTCAATTTGAAATATAATATGCAAAATGACAATGCAATTTGTAAAATGGCATTCCATTTTGTATTTATATTTACATTTTACATTACCTTTCTAGCAATGTTTGGTGCAAAATAAAAAAAAAAATTACTTCATTTACAATGCCATTTCATACACTAGTTTTAATATGCAATGAAAACGCTTTATAAGTGGCAAAATTAAAATGAAAATGCATTACAGAAATGATTAGATATGTCTAACATGTTCAAGCAAAAACTGGTGAAATGATCATTCAAATGTTATTTTTCTTAATTGCATTTACACCCACAGTCAAGACACTTGCGATTGCATTTTCATGAAATGCACCGCAATGGATGTAGCAAAATTCAGAGTTAAATCATTTAGCAGATAAAGTGGAGCGTGAACAGAGAAAAGGTGGTATTTCCGAAGATTATTACGCGTATATTAAAATATATTTAAGTTGTTGTTTACTTCAGTCCACATTGCTGCATTCGCCAATGTACCGTCCAACTCCAAACAAGGCAGCGATATCTTTAACTTTTAACCCATACATAAGATACCCCTCTATGGCATCACCAGGGATCTCCATGGGTGGTCTCCCCACTCCCCTAGGCCTATCCGAATACAACTGTTCTTCCACCACCTTTAAGAGGTCAGCAGCCAAACAGGTGTCGGCGCCTGATAAAGCAGAAAATTCTCCCAGACGTTCCAACAACGTACTGTTCGATCACCTACATACACGTAATAATCTTCGGAAATACTGCATTTTCTCTGTTCACGCTCCACTTTATCTGCTAAATGATTTAACACTCATATTAGCTCTGCCGCAGCAATTTTTTCAACAGCTCAAAACACGTAACATAGCCATAACATGCTATGTTTACCTGCCGTTGCCGAGCCCCGCCTTGATGCAGTGATTGAGAGGCCAGGAGGGGGTGTGATCGACTCGAAATTGCATTTTCAATGTGCACATTGAATTTTGCTACATCCATTGTGGGGCATTTCATGAAAATGCAATCGCAAGTGTCTTGACCAAGCGTGCCGCACAAGCCCTCAAAAGTGAAGCCAAAGCGCCACGATCGCCCCCTGGTGACCGGTCCTAGTGTAGGTCATAAACCCCACCTACCCATGTTATTCAACGGGATGTGAGACCAACTAAACAATTCAATTACACTTCACATATCCTTTTTCCAAAGATAGTTTCTGTCATTTACTGTAGTTTCTATCACGTTGGTGTAATTTCAAGTGTTTGTTTTTAAAATAAATTTGTTTTTAGTTAGTTATGTGATGCTATAAAAACGGTGCTGTGACATCATGATTGACAGCTGTGATTGACAGGTTCTCTGTGTGAGGTAGTCACTGAAGCACCAGCGGACTTTTTTTTAATAATGTTGACTATGTGGTTAGTAGTTGTATTTACCTTATATTAACGAGGTTCTGCTATCAGCAGACATCATTGGAGAGGAACGAAGCAGACAGAGGCCACTTTGTGGGAAAACGCAAGTGCTCAGACTCAAGTTCCAAGATGTCAGCGCCATATCGGGACATTGGCGGCTTCAGTTCTGTCTGATTGTTAAAAAAGATGGATGACACCCCTTTTCAGTCTATGTTCTTGACTGTGAGTGTAAATGCAATTAAGAAAAATAACATTTGAATGATCATTTTGCCACAGTTTTTGCTTCAACATGTTACACATATCTAAACATTTAATACATTTTCATTTTAATTTTGCCACTTATAAAGCATTTCAATATGCATATTAAAACTAGTGTATGAAATGGCAAATGTAAATGATGTAATTTCATTTTCATTTTGCACCAAATGTTGCTAGAATGGTAATGTAAAATGTAAATTTAAATACAAAATGCATTGCCATTTTACATATTGCATTGTCATTTTGCATATTACATTTCAAATTGAATAATGCTACACAGAAGCTTCCATAGACATGGGGGTCTTCCAGGACTTCGAGATTTCATCATCCACTTCCGTGAAGAATGGTATTGGGGTTGGCCACAGACGTGAATCTAATCGTCTAAATCTAATCATCCAGCCGCGAGTGCTCAGGACAGGGCGGAGGAGTCCACTTTTTAACCCGATGCTCACAGCTGCTTGGGAAAGCATTGCAGTCATTTCGGGATCAGGCTCGGCGAACGACTTCTTACCCGAAGGAGGCAGCGCTGCCAAGTCTTCACCCACCTTGTGATGCAGCGACAGACATTGCATAATCTGTAGCACCAAAGTAAACACGCGGGACATCCGAAGATGGGCCCGCGGGAATCATCTGGACACTGGCGGGCATCGTCACAGGAGGGGTAGGTGGAGGGCACGGACTGATAGTCGGTGCCTTGTTCCACACCTTCACTCTCAGGTCACCCTGGCCACCAGCCGAAGTACTAGCTCTATTTCTACAGTCAGTAGATCAGGGGGTGGATGAGGGGACTCTCACTCTTGCGAGATCACTCAGTCTCGACCGTAGTGACGCGATGGTCATGTTCCCACAGAGAGAACATGAGTCATCCACGAGCGCTGCTCTACCGTGATCAATGCCCAAACACACTAGACAGCGCTCATGCCCATTAGAGTCTGATAGAGTCTGCCGCAACCAGAAGTGCACGGGCGAGGCACATTTAAAAAGACGTGCGGCGTGCAAGCTCTTTTAGGGAGATGCTGAATCGCCCACAGATTAGCAGGAAGCGTGAACACGTGGGGATATCGCCGTCACTCCAACACAGAGAATCTGCTTGTTGGGAAAAAGCTGACAATACAGGGAGGCTTGTGGAACAAAGATCAAACTTGGCTCCGAAGCAAAAACATGTCTGTATTGCTGCCAGCGTCCTCCTTTTATACTCACAAGTGAGGCGGAGTTACGCTATGCAAAATCTGCAGACCAATGCCATTTCTTTGCCATTGGCTCGTTTTATGTTGAGCGAAGCTGATAGGCTTTCTAAGCAAAATCCCCATTCGTTGTCATCTGACGGACCTCGGAGTGACAACGAAAGGGAACTCCATATTTTTGTACACTGGAACTCTACCATACCATGTAATTTTTAAACAACGATCACATCAGTGTGATTAGCATGGTGTGTGATAAATATATAATCATACTGCTCAATTCAATTCTGCTTTCATGCTTTGGCCAGAGAGAGACTCGCTCAGCAGCACTATCACAACTGACCAACAAAAATAATGTTTATTTTAATATATACAGTATAAACACACCAAAGTACTTCCCAAAATATTTATAGTTTTAAAAATAAACACAGGTGTCTATGGAAGTGCAATAATAATCAAGAAAAAACGTTTTAAACAAATTTGACAACTTGTTTTATTCACAACAGTCACACTTTGTTTAGGTCAGTATAAAGTTTGCTCAGTTTTTCTCCAAGGTCACTAGCAACTTAATTTCATGTCTCTGGAGAAAATGTCATATTATGCATAATCGTCGTAATGACAGACTGCGACTCAAATTGAGGGCTGAAGTGATTGAAGAGGATGCACAGGATATTTTTGCTTCAGCTGGCATTACAATCAGCCTTCAAATTTTAAATAATTTAAATAATTAAATAAATCATGACTTCCAATAATGAGGATAGCTTATTTTCAGACATATCTACTGTGTATAGCTTTTTTAGGATTTATTTTTACTGGGGCACAGCAAAACTTTACTGGGGCTCGTGCTCCACTGTGTTACAATGTGCACCTATTAGAACAATGCTAATCTGTTCTATACTTCTTTGAATTCTATTGCGAAACCATTAGAAAAAGGTGAATAAAGACTGAGAGTCAATGTTTGGAAATGATTCATTATTGTTATGTTTTGAACTATGCTGTATAGCTGTGTTTTGCTGTGTGTTTGTTTACTCCTTAATTGTGCACCACTCTCCCCTACCTGTATTTCTGTGTTTTTGCTGTGGTATCGAATAATTAAAATGTTCTTTAAATGATAAATGGAAAGCAAAGTTATATTTGTAAACCCTACATAATTCATCTTAAATAGACTTTTTAGTATGGAGTGACTCATTTTTATTTACCCATTTTTTTTCTTTCTTTGATGTTAGGGCAGGTACTCTAGCAGTTGTATTATGTGTTCCATATACAGCAGACTCCAAATCCAAATAATCTTGTGTGTGTGTGTGTGTGTGTGTGTGTGTGTTTTTACAGAAGATGAAGAAAGTTTAGAAGTGAGGTTATACTGTGGCTGTAAGACAGACCTGCAGAGTACAGATAAATTCCTCTTCACTATATCAGGTAAAATAATCTCAACAATTTGAAACATAGTGTTGGAAATGTTTGCCAAAAGAATCCAAAACTGACATAATCTTTCATCTTTTTCTGTGTGTGTATATGTGTATATTTAAAGGACTAGACAAACAGAGAGGTGACACTGCCAGTCTGGCAGAGATGATGGTGAAGCCTTACATTTTGGCTTTATCCTTGCCGTCTAATGGCAACTCCCTTGCATCCGCTCGCAGGAAACGAGATGTTGGCACTGATGTAACTTGTGATGAGTGAGTCTCTTTGCTGTCTTTCACCTTTAGATACAGAACAAGAAAATAAATAGCAAATATACCTAAACCCTTATACTCTTATCATGTTGACCAAATGTCAGAAACAGAGGTGGACAAAGTACACAACTTCTTTACTTGAATGAAAGTACAGATAGAGGTCAAATATTACTCTGTTACAAAAGTAAAGTTGTAAAGACCGATTTTTACTTTACTTAAGTTGCTTGTTTTAAAAGCACTTATGTAAAAAATACATTTCAATGCATTGTTTTATTATTGTTGCATTGTTATAATACAGTACCTTTTATGTCTCTGATCTATGCCTGCATACATACCTACCCTAATATCAATATCAAATTTATTTCTAGAACAGAGTTTCAGTAGTGGGATTGAATGTGAGGTTGAATAAGTGCACTCAATAATTTCCAAAATGGTTTCAAAATGGCTGTTCCCTCAAATAGTCCCCTTTTTAAAGTTTTTGGCTTTTAGTGTGAATATGTTAGCCTTACTGTTATCTATAAAGCTAGTGTGCTCCAAAACAATGACAATTTTCGCATTTAGAAGACCAAACCCAATGTTGAAAATGAATAATCAGGTTGATGTCAGAATGCAACGCCAGATTGACATTACTCTCCAAAGTTGGACAGACATTGTATTGTGGTTGAAAATGAAATTCGTGTTGACGTCAATTGGGTTCTGACATCAACCCGACTTTCATTTCCAACCAAAATCCAACATTTGTCCGAAGTTGGATGGTGACGTCAATCCGACGTAGGATTCTGACATCAATCTGACATCATCAACCCGACTTTCATTTCCAACCAAAATGCAATCCCTGCAACCAAAATCATCCCCTGACTGACGTTATTTGTTAAATGATCAGAAAGACCAATATCAGCAGAAGACCGCTGAGACACAAATTAATAATTTGCAATCGCATGGTCTAAAGTATGACCTTTGTTGTGTGTTGGGCCACTAATAAACTGTGTAAGATTAAAACAGTTAAAAATAAAAGTAAAAATACTTTTAACAAGTAAAAATAAAAAGTCCTTTGTCATTGTGGTCTATGTGTACATTAAAATTTCCCAAAATAAGGATTGACATTGACAACAAGTCAGCAAACTCGAAGTCAGAAACGAGTCAGAAACGCTTCAGAAACGCGGGACGGGGACTGAATAGGGTGACTAATTCAGTAACTCAACCCTGTCAATTATTTCTATCTAATAATGCTGACTTTAACAAGAGCCACTGTATTCTCCTTCCCAATATTCTCTGACAGAAAAACAGAGACCTGCTGCATGCGTAAGCTTTACATTGACTTTCGGCAAGATCTGGGCTGGAAGTGGATCCACAAGCCTAAAGGATACTATGCTAACTACTGCATGGGCTCCTGCACCTACATCTGGAATGCTGAGAACAAATACTCTCAGGTAGGGTGTTGTTTTCCACCCCGTCCCACTTGACAAATGATACAACATATAATTTCAATTAATTGAATTATTTTATAAATCACAAAAAACAACAACAATAGTTGACCCACTGTGCTGTGCAGAAGTCTAGTATATATAGAGACAAAAATGCACATAATGCCTATAAAAGTATGCACAGTACTTCATCACCAGTGTGTGTTTAGCAAAAGTTACAGAATGCCATTGTCTGGCCAAATTCTGGGCTAAAATGTTTAGTGGAAAATCGTCACAGTGCATTTTCTAAAGTAACATAACATTATTTCTGAACTTTACATTTATAGCTGTGGCAGCTGCAGCTTCATACCACTCAGTTTTCTTTACCTGGACAAGTTACACTAAAATAGTGTACAGGCACACTATGAAAATACACCAGAAAAGTATGTTAGGATTATTTGCAACATGATTTGGTATGCACTATTTCCAATCTTTAATACTATTTAGAACAGGAAACAGCATGTTTCATTTTCCTGCCTGAATCATTTTTAGAGCAAGATTGCACAACACCACTTATAAAAAGACTGTCAATCGTGGCTATGCTATGTACAGTATGTTAGTTCATTTACAATGCACAGATAGTATCCAGAGGTACATTTGAGGTCAAGAGTTGGCAATGTAGAGAAAACAAGTTTTGAATGACTAGTTACCCCAAGGGCTGAAATGTCATACACTTAACATCACTTTTATGTTCTTTCTTTTTTAGCTTTTATGTTTTGCCTATGCAAGCTTCAAATTTCACCAGGTTTAATTATGAGACTTGTTGTCTTTGTTAGAAGAGAAAACAGATCATACCTCAGGATCCTGACTGTTTTTAATGTGTGAGCTGCCTGAGATAATGTCCTTAAAGGCTTAGTTCACCCAAAAATGAAAGTGATGTCATTAATGACTCACCCTCGCCCCAAGCCCGTATGACCTCCGTTCATCTTCGAAACACAGTTTTAGATATTTTAGATTTAGTCAGAGAGATTTCTGTCTTGCCATTAAAAAAAATGTATACACGGTATACTGTCCTTGGTAAGTCGGTAAGTTAATAACAAGTGCACATGAGCAGTGATAGAAAGCGGGAGGAAGGTGCTGCAAGTGAGTTTTTTTATGTCAGTGTTGTGGAAATATACGCCACACAGCTGTAGGGGCAGCTCGATGAGAAAACATGCGACAACAAAAGTGAAAATCAAAGAAATTACTAGAGTTGCCAAGTTCCCCTTTAAAGGGACAGGCAGGCCTTTAGTGCGGCCATCAAAGTACACAAAAAGCTGATCAGAGGGTCGAAACTGTCTGGTGCACTCAATATAAATGCACAAAGCACGTACAGGGCAAAGCATTTGTGGAAGGGGGTCCTCATCTGCTGTGGGGTCATCACCCTGAGCAACGAATAGCGTTGAGAGCACCGTAGGCACATAATAGGCCTAAGGTGAAAAAATTCTTTCCTTGGATTAATAGTGACCCTATGGTCATTTGGGCTCTTATCTATGCAAGACTCGCTGACTGGGAGAGCTTGCATATCACCTACTCGCTTAACAGAAGCGAGCGCAAGCAAAAGTGCCGTCTTGTCAGAGCTGATAGCCTAGTGGGCACTGGCAGAACTCCGACATATACTGTAGCTTTGTTGCACTTCGGGCTACTCTTGACGTGGACCATTCCGATCCCGGTTAGGCTACTAATCAGAACATGTGAATGAGTGAACAGGTAACTGATATGTTAAACGTTAGTGTAAAGCCCTATTATCAGGTGACCTGTAGTAATTTGTAATAATTGCGGAGTTTGTCTGTGATGTTAATCCTGTGCGAATCTCCCATGTCTGTAATTTGTAAAGTCAAAATTCCTCCGCAAATTACCTACTATATTTCGCCGAACACCGAGGTCATGTGATAATATTAGTCCCGTGCGAATCGACATCTCTGTGATTTGGCAGGATCGTATATCATTTTTTCAAGGTTTTTGTTTCATCTGAGCCTTTTTATCCATCTTTCGCGAAGAATAGAGGCTGAGTTGGAGTGTTTTGATAGTATTTTGGGTGCGGGGTCATATCGCTAGTACAACTATACAATTTGCAGAAATAGAAAGCTGATAACCATCAGAAGAGCAAAAACAAAAAGAACGATTAGATGGAGATGAATGACATGTTAGCAGCATATGGTAAGGACAATTCTTCTGTTTATTTTTATTTACAGCTAGACATAATAACGACAAGACATTTCAAAGCTATAGCCTAATGACATCATATCCAGGAGATAAGTCAGTAAATTCGAGTAAAATCACAGGCTTGCTTATCCCGTGCGAATGCGCCACACGAAATTCAGATGTGGGGGGGTAATTTCAAATTCACACATTGTCCCCAGGTAATACTAATCCCGTGCGAATAGGGCTTTACTCATTTTCAGCTCACTACTGAGATCACTTCATATTTTACCATTATGTGCACTTATTTTACACTGTGTAAAATAAAATAAGACATGCGTTTCTTCACCTTTTCATTGTAGTATTGGTATGTGTATTTTTTTCACACAGATTTTAGCCTTGTACAAACACCACAACCCTGGTGCATCTGCTCAGCCATGCTGCGTACCTGCAGTCTTCGACCCTCTACCAATTCTTTACTATGTGGGAAGACAGCACAAGGTAAATGCAAAAAAATATCATTACGTGTAATATTTATAATGTTAATGTTTGTATGCACATATATACACTTTCACAGGATGAGTTACAACAGATATGGTCCAGGTGATATGTGAAAATTATGTTCACTTTTTCATAAAAGCATGAAACTTGGTACACATGGACAGTTTGCGACCCTGGACATTTTCAGAAATGGAGCCATCGCAAAAACTCTTCGTGCTTTCTGCCATATCTGCATTATATATTTTGTATTATATTCTGAACCAAACATGATAACAAGGAAAGTGTGATGTCTACCCCTATGTTTTGATGGCCAAGGATCACAATGATACCATATACAACATCATAAAATGTTCAGGTGAATGGTTAATGGTGAATGCAGTGACATTGTGAGAAGGATTACAATGAAATCGCAGTATCTGAGAATATCATCTGAAGATGGGGCCACATTAAAAGATTTTTTATATCTTATATTTTTTTCAAAATGTGAGAGACCACAAACATGACGATAAAAAAAATTAGATTTATCTTGTTTTATTCCTCTTTAGTGTGGAGTGCCAAGAATTTGACCAGGAAAGCACACCACACACTAACAGATTCCATTCACAGTTCCTAACCATATCAGCCTAGAAAATCGCAACTTTACATTTTCCGTCTGTCTTAGTGCATGATGCAATTACAGAAGAGTCAAGTTTTAAATAGGAAAAATATCGAAACACTTTAGTCATTTTATTTTGAGAAATGCTAATGGTCTTGTGCACTTCAATGATGTATGCTAAGCTATGATAAAAGTGGTACCGCGAGAACCGGAGATCGACTGAATGTATTCAAAAACGGTAAAACCCAACAGTTTAACTCTGGTGGATTTGTAAAATGAGCCTATTTCCAAAAAAAGTGGAGTATCCTGGGTGTCTCTGAAAACCGGCTGAAAGACCGGCTGAGTGTCCGGCTGAAAGACATTTGAGTTGGTTGAAGACCAATGGAGACCATGGAGTGCTTTGAATATGATAAGGAGTATCTTGTATTTAATACGAAAGCGTACCGGTTGCCAATGAAGTCTGCATAAAATCTGAGTAATGTGGGAAGATTTCTTTGTATATGTGAGGAATATATTGCATATATAGATGAGTTGGGTAAGCCACAGAACAGAGATTTCCAGTAGTCTAGCCATGATGTGATGAAAGCGTGAACCAAGGTTTCAGCATCGCTGATATTCATAAATTGACGCTGCATCATATTACTTAGTGAGAGAGGAAATGTGTGTAAGGAAGGACACAGAGGAATCAAAGATTATACCAAGGTTTTTGACATGGTGGAAGGTTGAACCAAAAACGGGATGCGTAATTTGAGGTGAACCAAGAAGTACTCATGTTTTATCAGTGTGGAGAAAATTACTGGTCATCCAAGCATTTATATCATCAATACAGGCTGATATGGAATTTGTGGGAAAAGCAACTGCATTGTGAATGGATGTATAGTTGGGTGTCATCTGTGTAGCAATGGAAGTTAAAGTCATGATGCCGGATGATGTTACCTAATGGAACCATGTAGATGATGAAGAGAAGAGATTATTTTTATTTATTTACTCACACATACCCACACATAAATTCAAGTCCGATGACACAGACCAATTAGCACAGATAGATATGTGTGAATCAGGTCTCCCAAAGAAGCTATCCAAAGCCTATATAAGGGAGCCTGAGACATATTAAAGTAATACATTGCATACAAAACTTAACTAAACACCAATCACATAACCAAAATTTCATACAAAAATACACAATACAACATAAGACACAACAAAAGTGAATCAGGACAATGCTTTAAAATCAAATGTAGACTAGGAAGGCTACTGACAAGGTTCTAGATATAAACGTAAAAGTTCCTTTTTTAGTGTTTTCTTAAAGATGGACAGTGGACACCTTCAGCTTGGTAGCTCATTCCAAACCATTGGGCCTCTACTTGTAATGCTCAAGTTTGCACTTTTGAGTCTTCTAGTTTTACCAATGATTAGATGTTTGTTTCTGGTAGCTTGAGCATGAAGCGGACTACTAATTGGAATGAGCTGGGATAGCCGGCTATTTGTAGCATTAACTACTTGGTACATAATGCACGCATTATGGTATATGTTCAACTCGGTAAGCCGAAGGAGACCTAAGCGGTGGAAAAGGGGTCTTGTAGGGGTGTTGTACCAAGACCACGTTATAGCTCTTATCTTCTTTTGCAGACTTATTAATTTATTTAAATGACTCGGGTAGGTATTACACCAGATTACGTTACAATAACTAATGTGAGGTTCAAACAAGGTTTTATACAGGGTAAGAAGAGCAGGTAATGTAAGATAGTGCCGTATTCTGAAAAACAGACCGACATATTTTGAAAGCTTCTGTATCAAGTGATGAATGTGGCATTTAAAGTTTAAACATTTATCAATGTGAGCCCCCAAGAACTTTGTAGTAGATGTTGGCAGTATCTCCTCATCATCTACATTGAGGCAAAGCTGTTTTATAGCCGATGGCCTTGTGTTTGATTGAATCATTATATAGTTAGTTTTTTTAGTGTTGAGGGATAATTTATTACACTCGAACCAGATAACAATTTTTTGTAGTTCTTCATTTAAAATAATTTGTAAATCTGTTGGATCTTTATGCGACAAAAACAAATTGGTATCATCTGCGAACAGAAATACTTGAGAGGAATTCACAAAGTCATTTATATATATTAAAAAGTAATGGACCCAATATTGAGCCTTGGGGAACCCCGTATTTAAGTTCTTTCATTTGCGATATATGGTTATTAATCATCACATACAGTTTTGTTTCCGACCATATAGATAACTTTTAAACCAGTCGAATGCTACTCCTCTAACACCATAATGATGTAATTTTTCTAGAAGAATATTAAGATCAATAGTGTCGAATGCCTTAGATAGATCAAGTAAAACAACTCCACAATCACCCTGGTCTAAAGAATCATTGATTTTTTTTTTTCAACAAGATCTAAAACAGCCATAAAGGTAGAATTCTCTTTCCTGAAACCATACTGCGATCTTACAAGAATATGAAGTTTATCCAGATATAGACTTAACCTAATGTGTACCACTCTCTCCAATACCTTAGACAGAGATGGTAAAATAGAAATTGGACGGTAGTTACCCATATTGTTTTTGTCACCTGATTTGTAAATTGGAGTAATTCTGGCTATTTTTGTCATACTTGGCACTATGCCATACAGAAGTGATAGGTTAATGCAATGCATAAGTGGCTGTGCTATTAAGTCTGCAACAGCTATCAGAATTTTACTACAGATTCCATCAACCCCTTCCGTACAAGAACTCTTCAAGTCTGCAATAATTTTATAAATTTCAATTTTGTCAGTAGGTTTCATAAAGAAAGATTGCATCTAATTTCCATGGAGATACTGTCTAAAAGAGGATTCGTTGGGAGGTCTGATTTTTTTGGCAAGATCTTCACCTAATGAAACAAAGTAATCGTTAAAACTATCAGCTAATAAAAGTGAGTTGTCATCCGAACATTCGGGTAACACAGCTGACTTCTTGTCCCTGTTTAGAACTTTATTCAACACAGCCCAGGTCCTTTTTGGGCTGCATTTATATGTTCAATATAGTAAATTTGTTTACTCTTCCTCATAATATGGGTGAGTCTATTTCTAAACTTAAAATATTTGCTTTTGTTGTCATCATTTGGATTTTTCCTATAGAGTTTATAAAGTTTATTTTTACGTTTGATAGAGTTAAGAATCCCTTTAGTAAGCCAAGGGTGATGATCATCATTCCTGAACATGACAGTCTTCATTGGAAGAGTCTTTTGTATGACCCCCGTTAATTCTTGAATTAGTCTGTCATAAGCAGTCTCTGGATCACGGGTTTCATACACACTAGTCCAAACTTTAGTCTCTAAGTTATTACGGAGCTGCTGTAGCGTTCTTTCGTTCAGGACACTAATCTTTATTTTACGGCAGTTAAATGGAGGTTTGGACGGCAGGTTTAAAGATAACACAATTGGGTAGTGATCAGTTATATCAGTCAGAACAACACCTGACTTTGTAATAATATTATCAATGATAGACTTAGAAGAGTGAGTTTCTCTAGTATATCTATTAATGGTTGGTATAAAGGAGGAGGAGTGAAGGGTGTTCATGAAATCATTTTTAATAGGACCATCCCTTGAGATGTCAATATTAAAATCCCCAAGAATTATACAATTGTGATTTTTCCTATTAATATCAAAAAGAGTTCCCTATCGAGGGAACTCAACACTGCGTCGATAAAATCGACTCTTTGGGGACGCTCCCTAAGCGTGCGCCTCTGAAGTATGAATGAAACTAATCCAATCCTGATTGGTGTTGCGTCGTGACGTAACATGTGACGGCATACCCGGAAGTATAAAAGTGACGCTGTCACAACACACACTAGCTTTCGCTCTTCAGCAAGCGCTTTATGTTGAAACTGTCTGTCTTATTTGGTGTTGTTTGTCTTATTATTGAAAGAAAGTATGGCCAGTGAACAATTCAAGAGGTGTGTGCATCCCTGCCCTCGTTTCATCACGGGTGGGGACGCACACTCTCTATGTGTGTATTGTTTGGGAGTGCAGCACGCACGGGCAGCTCTCGAGGGGGCTGCTTGTGAAATGTGTGAGGCTTTGCCTATTAGAGTGCTGCGCTCCCGGCTGGCGTGCTTTGACGAGCACGGTCAGGCTCGCGTTCCCCAGGGTTCCGGTCCCGCATATGTCGAGGCGATGCGGCGACTGAGATCCTGGGGTTCGCAGCGGGATCTGGCGGAGGAGAGTGAGAATGCTGAGGCATTTTCTCGCTCGCCATCGGCTGGTCCCGCAGCCTCTGAGAGTGGTGTGGGAGCCCGCGCTGCGGTTTCTCCTACCCGCGATCAGGTCCCGGTGCTTGAGCTGTCTACTTCTGAGGAAGGGGACGTGCTCAGCATCGATGCGGACGACCGTGATCTCAGCACGCCATCACGCGGCCTGGGT